TTTCGGTGAGGCGGAGACAGAGAAAGTTATAGGCGGAATGATGAAGTTCTCATATTGAAAAGGAATATTCTCATGAACATTGATATAAACATATAAAGCAATACATTGATAATTCGCATTCTCTATGTGATTTTTGTAATTCTTTCTTCATATTGAACATATGATTATCTCATTTTTACTAAATATGAAATCATTTCAAGAACATTGACACTCCAATTCAGGTATCGATAGCCTCAACCGCCATCTTCTGGCGATCTCACATAGAAATAGTTATGTTCTTGAACTAAGCGATTTTGATTTTAATTGATGATAATGAAAGGTTTTCTTTCGATGATAAAGTTTTCTTTCCTAAGCGTTGAAAATCTCAAACTGATGAAATCATCATTCAATATCAGTTATTCAGTGTTTTGTTCTGAGAACATGAAGTTTTTGATTGAAATATTTGATTTCTTAGTATATAATCTTTTTATATGAAGCACTTCTGCGCTCATAATTATTATTTACAGTTTTCTGGTCAAAAACTCCGTATTTCAATTGAGATTTGACATCATTTCAATTGAACTACCAGTAGTCTCAGTTATTTCATTCATTTAGAAGGATCGAGTTGGAGTTTTGAGTTGAAGTGAACTTTGAAAATTTGAGGTAATCTATCTGAAGAAAATATATGGAAATTGAACATGAATAAAAAAATCTTTAAATGCATTATCTCTAATAATCTCAGAGTTCACTTCAAATCAAAATTTTGATCAGTAGCAACTGCCTTTTACATTTCTAGATAGTGGAAGAAGGGAGTCTCTCTGATACAATATATTATAATCTTTCCTAATCTCAGCCAAAACACGGGGTTCATTAGCAGAAAGCTGTAAATAATTATTATTATGAGCGTATAGAAGTGCTGTTTGGTAACATGCAATATACCAGGAGCACAAATATATTTCTGAAGGGTATGAATAACCAGGAATAACCGAGGAATAAACTATCAATTTTTGTTGTTTACCAACTTAGTTGAGTGCAGACTGATAAAAAATTTCTACTATATGAGGAAATAACAAAAAAATATTTTATGTATATAGACCTCTATAGTCGCAGATTCGTGATTGGGATTTCTCAATTCAGAATTTCTTTCCACGTCCTGTATTATGATGACTATGAATTTGTCATACATCCAAAAACAAGTTCTCATAGAAATCATACGACTTTCTTGCGTTCTCGCATAAAAACATTTTTGAATTCAGGTGGAGAGTTTACAAATTTTATTTGTAATACAAATCTGACACCAAAACATGCGAAGAGGGTATCAATCGTTTTCACTAATGCATTCCCTATTAGGTGCTACTTGCTTTCAGCACTTTTTTTTGTAATTGAGAATTCAGATCGTTGATTTCTTGTGCTATTTAGGATTCAGTTATGAATTTCTAGGTGTGTGTGATGAGGATTTCGACCAGTTCCGTATAATATGCGACCAAGTGTATAACTGATGGTCGTTGCAAATAATCGGTTTATATATTGAATTATACACTGATATTCGGATTCACTTAACACGCTTAGAACGATGGCGTTTATTTTCCTTAACGCCGTTATTTAAAATCGCTTTAAACAGATATATATAAAGCTCGAACTTGATCCTCCGATTTTTTAATATTATACCGCTATTAATGGAATTATAGACATTATTATGGAAATTTTCACTGGATTTCTTAAGTTTGCGAGAAATATTCTATATTACACTTCATAGCATGAGCATTAAGCATAATGGAATGATATTTTGATATGCTGATTGTGGTGCTATGTCTAGAAAGTCATAGTATGAGGTTCGAATCTAGCGTTATGATCAAATAGTATATTTCAGTTCACATGTAACATAACAAGACAGATAATAATATTATATGACAGACTTTTCTTGACACCCATGACATCCCTGACATTCAGTCACCATACTGTGTGTCCACATATCATCTCATGCCCTCCCTTAAGATGTGACCTTTGGACACATCCGACGTAAGAGGGTTCTTGCAACCTTGGTGATCGACGAATCTGAAGAGACGTGACTTCAGATGTTGGTGCATCAACCTGAGTTGGAGAGAATCGACGAAGGAACCGACTTGAGCTCACCGAGAGGCTTGGCATTAGCATTGTATCGGATGCTTGCTTTTTCTGTCAGGCTCACAGCGCGACGATCCACTTCAAAAATTTGTGTTTTCCATGACTCGTCGAACTGGTGGCGAGCCAAGGGGACGGTAGTTCTGGTTGGAGCACCATATACAAGCTGTGCAGGACTTCTTCCATCCGCTCTGCGAGTGAACGTCTCCATTTGGTGCTATTTTCATCAATAATGACTTGGCTGCCTCGACAGCTGATTCTGCCAAGCCGTTTGATTGAGGGTAGTAGGGGGAAGAGGTACCGTGATTGATATTCAATCTTTCTGCCCACTTATGGAATTCTAGTGACGCAAACTGAGGACCGTTGTCACTGTTGAGTTCCATTGGAATTCCAACATCACAGAACCATCGCTGTAAAATTGTGGTTACTGTTGATGTCGTGACACTTCGTCCGCATTTGGCAACCTGGATCCATCCAGAGAAACGATCCACCATGACGATGTATTCATATCCAAAAATATCTCGAGAAATAGCGGTTTGTTCACATGTTCATTGTGAAATTCGTGTTTTTCAGACGAAAATACGTGAGGAACAAAAGAATTTTTCGAGAAAAAACCCATCGCATGATAAGTGCAGTTTTACCATATTTTCAAACTATCTTCTTTCAAACATTTACTTTTTACTGTGCATAATGGAGATGATATCTTGCTTCCTTTTTGATCCCTCAAATCCATATTATCACTCTACCAAAAGCAATGGACTTGTTATATGATGTTCAAATTTCACCTTCTTTTTTGTCTGATTTGGATGTCCGCTTAATCGTTTTTTTGAGAGCCCAATATTTCCGGACGTCAATACATCCTACTCGTTCCGCCCATCTCAATTCGAAATTAATTTTCGTTCGAAACGAAACCGCGTTGTGGAATAATTATCCGACAATTATTATCGTCCGTAATCAAAGACCTTATCGCTGTAGAAATCGCTGCCAAAAAATTATGCCATAAGTCGCGGGAATTTTTCTTCCTACCCACTGATTACAAGGATTTTTTCTTCCTTTTTTACTCATCAGAATATCGGTAAATATTTACGAACGTATACTTGTACAGGATGATCTAAATGAAAATGAGCAACTCATAGAAAGAGAATGGTATAATAATAATATTAATAATTATTATACTCTTTATTTTGAGGAAATCGTACAGTACAGATGAAGACCCCATCAGGACAAAAAGGGGGAATGTCACAGAAAGTATGAGTTTCGAGAAAAACGCATTTCAAAGAATAAAACCACCTTACTTTTTGGAAGTTGTAGGAAACTGAAATCAAAACACCTGAATTGATTTGATGGAGTATAATGATCAATAAAGTTGAACAACTAGAAACAAAAATCATATTTGAATGGAAAAATCATCGTAAACAAAAAATGAGACCATATAGATTCAACGGAAAATGGGGAACGTCCAAATAAATTCTCAAAAAACTGGATTGTTCACTAGCAATTATCTGCTCTGGTACATTTCTCCATTCTTGGCTGACTACCTAATAAGCGGTAATTTGTCTTATATAGAGTACATCTAGCATCTTTATAATTTGATCAGTTTCTATAAATTCCACACGATATGAGTAGGAATCATCATGTAGCAATTCATTATTCCAAATTTTTTGGGATTTTCTCTACTCGTTTCTATAAAATAAAAATATGGATATTATTTCAATATATACGTGTAGTAAGGACAAATCAGATGATTTGCCCCAAAATGTCACTGCGTTTAAAGAATTTTCCTATCAGAGAGCCTAAAAGAAAAATTCACTATCTTGTCAGTGACAATTTGTATTGAAAAAAGTTTGGAGAAGAGAAATAAAGGTAGAAAAAATATCAAATTTTCACTTATCTTTGGACGTTTCGGGACCGATTCTGCTCCCGTTTTCAACATAAAAAAAGATTATTTTAATAGCGATATGTCGTATCTGTCTTGAAGCTTTTCAGTTTTCATTGACAGTTGGTGACGTTGGCAATCAAATGAGTTACAGGATGTTTTCATTAATTAATCTTGAATTTAATATTTTCATGTTCAGATTTTAGTAGTGAATACCATGTTTTGTCTATATCAACTGAACAAGAAGCAATGCTATTGTCTCCGTTCAGAAGAATGCAAGCAGATTCCTTGATTTTTCTCTTCTGGTTGTTATCTTCTTTTCCAATGATTTTAATATTATTCCACTCTGCCATATTATGTTGTCCGTCTTCATTAAGGAAATGTTCAGCTAGTTTTGATTTGTCTTTTCTTCATATTTTACCTAACCTACAGACAGTATCATGTGGCAATCTCATTATTTTATTCCCATCACTCAGACGTTCTCGACAAGCTCTTTTTGTCATCAACCTCGAAATATGTCGAACATTTCTTTACCAAAACTCGTTTATACATAGAACGGCAAAGCTTTGGAGTTTTTTGCCTAACAGAGTATTACCCGAATATTATAGGGATTCCCTTTCGTACGCTCCAAGAGAAAAGGTGGTCGTATCACTTTTTTTTTCTCATTTTTTGTTTGCCTGAGAGTTGACTTTGACCTTTTGACAGTGTGAAAGCAACGATCTGGAATCTGTATTCAAGCAAGCACTAAGCTTGGACGTTCCCCTTCCTTCACATTTTTGAAGTGGACATTCTGTGTTTTTTCCATGTGAACGTTGTTTCGAACGAGCATATCAGCTGACTATGCTGCGTTATTGCTATGGACTTCTGTTTATACTGAGATATAGTGGTTTGGCTATCAGATAGCGATGTCAAGTCAATTTCCACAATATTGTGACATTCCCCCTTTTTCCCCTGTGGTCTTCATATGTTTGCAATATATTTCATCAAGGGGCACGGAAAAAAATTACCATTCTCTTAACTTCGCCTATTTTTCCCGTACTGAACCTCCCGAAAAATCGGTATCGGTACCACCGTGGCCGGTGTCACCATCGAGGCCGGTCAAATCGACCATACGGAGAGATCGCATGACCCCCGAACTCTGGGTACCGTCCGACGGTACCACCGATGGTACCGTTACGGCGGGTGCCTCATGTATTATGCGGTACCGTGTTGCGGTATACGCCATGTCCCCGTATATTTTGGCGAGAGATATTAGGTTAATGTCGATGACGGTGGTACGTCCTCCGAGACGCGATATACGTAAATTTCGGGGAGATCGAGTACCGCCATGGATGTCGGTACTGCCCCGATGACCTCCATTATTTTATTTTATTGCGTACGCTAATCCCTATGTAGAGATCTTTTATGGGTATGCTTTAATGTTGATGCGTTATATGGTACGCAGATATACAGGAACTAAACGAGAGGGGAAACATTTTTGATCTTTCATCACAGGTTTCAAAATCAAATAACTTTTTTCCCACGGGAAAAAAGTGAGTACTATTTTCCTGGATATACAGTGTGACCCACTTTTGATGGAAACACCCTTGTATCTTACGTAATCGTTGGGTAAGGATCCTGAAATTTGCTGGAGCGAGATATATACCAAAAATGCACTCTATGACCAAGTGGGGTCATCTTCAGTGATATACACTGCTCGCCAACAGCCATGGAACCACCCCAATTTCCGGAAAATGATATTAGGAGTCAAAATAGGTCGAAAATCACTTCAGATTCCGAATCAGGACGCCCAATTCGCTAACTATTCATAGTTTTCCTAGAAAATTTTCAGTTCAGAAAAATAAAATTTTGTCTCACTCCTCTTGGAAGAACCCCCGTATCTCACGTAATTGACTTTGTCTTTGAACTTTCCCTTCCTCCTGCAAATTTCAGAGCCCTGCCTCAATAATTACGTGAGTTAAGGGGGTGCTTCCACGAGGAGTGACACAAAATTGAATTTTTCTGAATTGAAAATTTTCTAGAAGAGCTATGTATAGTTAGTGAATTAGGCGCCCTGATTCCGAATCCGAAGTGATTTTCCACCCATTTTGACTCCTTATATCATTTTCCGGAAATTGGGGTGGCATGGCTGTTGGCGAGCAGTGTATATATCACTGAAGATGACTGAAGTAGGTATCACATCGTTGTTGTCACTGTTATCATGAAAATCTTGGTAGATATGGTTTTGATAAATGTAGATGATAATTATTACTATAGCAGCGAAATATCGGCTGACAGCTATTTGACATGAAATAAGTTGACATTTGGATTTTGGAAAGTTTGATTGCAATTATCGCAATAAACTATCGAAAGCAGCTGCGATAGTGAGTTTGAGAACTTTGGAAACGAATCATACATGCCAAACACTGTATTGTCAGCATTGTTTATTATATTTCAATCAAATTTATGCCGACAAAATGAACTCCCGAAAATCCCGAAATTCCCGATAATATCGTAGAATTTATTACCAGTAAAATCCAGGTCTAGTAGTTTCAAGTTTTTTCATTCCTACAACTATGAAAATAAATATGTCCCAAGTTTCTTATTTGTCTTTCTATATAATATTTTATTAATATATTTTCATTTTCATTGAAGTGTAATAAAAAATATCGTTCATTACTCGTCCAGAAATGATTTCCAGACTCGTAATAAAATATACTATTCAAATCGGTGCAGTAGTTTCGGAGTCTATTCAATACAAACAAACAGTATTTAACAAATCTTTCCTCTTTATAATATCAGTGTAGATAACTGTCTTTCCCCAAAATTCCTGTCGAAAATTAAATCAACCTTGGTAATTATAATCTTGGTTGATCAATGTAATTGAGTTCTAATTTCTTCGTGATTGGAACTTTTCACCTCAATAGCCCTCAAAATAAAGTAACAAATGTGAGTGCAGTGTTTTTCCCCATTTTTCGTGTCAAATAAGTATATTTTCAGTAACTGGCTTTTTCGTTCGGGACGATAATTCTTCGTGAGCTACGAACATCTCTTCTTTATCTTCCCGGACTCTCATGGAATATGTTATTATTCAAAGCAGGTAGGTAAGTATGTAAATTCAGAGGTTCTCGTTTAGTTCACTCACTCGGATATACTATCTACTTAGCGAGACATTTATTGTAAGAAGAACAGACGTCTAGATTCACTTCCTTGCTTCTCAGACGAGTGCGCGGTCTTAAGTTGAGATTGTGCCGCATATTATTTTTGCTCTTCATCGGAAAACCACTTGTTTCATCTCTAACCTTGACTTAGTAGAAATTTATGCAGCATCAATTCACAATTATCAAGCTTTACTTCATTTTTTGGGATTTACTCTCTTCGTTTCTATAAAATAAAAATATGCGTATTATTTCAATATTTTTATAGTGGGACAAATCAGATGATTTGCCCCAAAATGTCACTGCGTTTAACAAATTTTTCTATCAGTCCAGTAGCTTGTCAGTGACAATTAGTTTGAAAAAATGTTCGACGAAAAGAAATATAGATATATTGAAAAAATATCGAATTTTTACTTATCTTTGGACGTTTCGGGACCGAATCTGCTCCCGTTCTCAACATGAAAATGCGAAATATTTCTCTCTGGAAGTTGTGCTGATTATAGCTTGACACTTTTCAGTGTCATACTGATGTTGGCATATGAATGAGTGATTTTAGTCTAGAAAAATGTGTGTATTTAGATCTATGCTAAAACCCACAAATACACCGTTTCAAAACCCATCTCAGAAATGTTATTCTGAATCAATAATTATTCATTCCATAATAATTTTTTATCCTCATGTACTGAGAAGAAAGTAATATTTTTTTTCGTAACGCGATTTAGCAGACGAACAATCAAGATAAAATATGGCTTGTTTTCCTTGAGACTTATTGCCCTGTCATCGATATATCTTCTTAAAATTACTGTCATTTAAGAACGTTATTTATTTATCTTGCACGGATATCCAAATCTCAGAGTTTGGCACAGAACCAACACAGGTTCATGTGCAAATTCCAATTGAGAACTATATAGTTTTTCGAGATGATCCTACACGCAAAATGAAATTTAGTAGCAAATAAAATTCTTGCGGGAATATATCTAGAAAAAAATATATAATCCATAATATTCACATTAAAAATGTTTTTCAACATTGGGAAAGTTTCCTATATTGAGGTTTTTATCTCAATGTGAAGTTTGTAAAATAATAATATTCACGTATTTTTTCGTTTTTCGTAAGATCAAATTACACTTCAGAAAAACATAAATAAAAAATGAAAATGGCTCCTCCACCATTCCTATGACTTATTTTCTGAAAATTCACTTTCACACAGAGTTAAAATACGATTCCCTGTGCCAGTACGACGTTGCCGACATCATCAATATATCTACATTTCCGGAAATCGTTCTTTGAATGCATAATAACTATATCATAACAGCACTGGGATATAATAGGTTCTTCAATCCTACTTTGTCAAGTATTATAAATAATTCCCATAAATCTCTCATTGGTTGAATGAAGTTGTTTACTAATAAAGATGAATTATGATATTACGAAAGCGTAGAACGGACATGAGATATTTTTTTTCTTAATTTCGAGTTATAACTCGAAATTAGTACTAATTTCGTGTTAAAACTCGAAATTAGCTTAATTCCGAGTTATAACTCGAAATTAGTGCTAATTTCGTGTTACAACTCGAAATTAGCTTAATTTCGAGTTAAAACTCGAAATTAGTGCTAATTTCGTGTTACAACTCGAAATTAGCTTAATTTCGAGTTATAACTCGAAATTAGTACTAATTTCGTGTTAAAACTCGAAATTAGCTTAATTCCGAGTTATAACTCGAAATTAGTGCTAATTTCGTGTTACAACTCGAAATTAAGCTCTTCTTAAGTTGTAGTACGAAACCAAGCTCTCAATGAGTCAAATTTTCACAGGAAGTAGTTGTATAAATCTCGGTATAGTACCTAACAGTGTAGTTAACAATGAAAGAAATAGTGTACCTATATTATCACACCATATAGGTATTTTAGGAAACTTGTTTTCAACACATCGCTTTTCCATCACAAATAACATATCGCAACTACATTGCAAAAAACATATCGCTGTTATATCGCAGAGACCTTATCGCAGCGACGTCGCATGGATGAAACTTGAGAGTGACAAAATAACATCCCTCTGACATCGCAGCGACGTCTATGCGACAAAGAATGCGATATCGCAGGTCACAATTGTTACATCGCTGCGATATCTCTGTGATGTTACTGTATTTGCAGGAATGTTGTTTATAAACTTTTTTATTATTCAGTCGAACTTATTTATTTCACTCATTTCTGAGTTATACCGGTTGATAGTAAATGTTTCTTTTATGACAAGAACTGAGACTACGGATGATTTTCACAAGAATGCCATGAATATAAGTTACCATGGCAACCATTGTTATCGCAAATGTTGTCAGAGATATTGTCAAATTAAGCTAATTTCGAGTTGTAACACGAAATTAGTACTAATTTCGAGTTATAACTCGAAATTAAGCTAATTTCGAGTTGTAACACGAAATTAGCACTAATTTCGAGTTATAACTCGGAATTAAGCTAATTTCGAGTTTTAACACGAAATTAGTACTAATTTCGAGTTATAACTCGAAATTAAGCTAATTTCGAGTTGTAACACGAAATTAGCACTAATTTCGAGTTATAACTCGGAATTAAGCTAATTTCGAGTTTTAACACGAAATTAGTACTAATTTCGAGTTATAACTCGAAATTAAGCTAATTTCGAGTTGTAACACGAAATTAGCACTAATTTCGAGTTATAACTCGGAATTAAGCTAATTTCGAGTTTTAACACGAAATTAGTACTAAATTCGAGTTATAACTCGAAATTAAGAAAAAAAATATCTCATGTCCGTTCTACGCTTTCGTATGATATTTCGTGATAGTATCTATAATTTTTCACTATCGTCCGTCCACACCACTCAAAATACTGACAGGCACAACAAGAGGAAGAAGCCATGGGTGTCGGCTTCATCCTGTTCTGACCGATGGCAGTAAATTAGGAAGGATAGTATCATTGAATGTAGCCGATAGTGATTCATTGATTCAATGATATTTCCGTTTAGGACCGAGCTCTATTCCAGATATTTCAATGCATAAATAACAAAACAATAACCTGTCAAAATAAAGCCAACTATCTTCTGCATTTCTCCACCGAGTGCATTTGTGGTTATGTATGTTTTTGTTGACAAGCGAAAAGGTTCATCAACCA